AGTTAATATATATTTACTTTTGGCCATGCCAGGCACAATTCATTCAAGCATAACCAAATCCAAGAAATCCTCTTAAGATTTCCAGGGCTGGGTAGGCAGTTAGGCACATGCAAAGCCTCTGTAAAGGAATCTGTGAGAAAGCTAAAGAGGAAAACCTTGTGTTTATTTTTTCAGGTATTAAAACTGAACACATACCATGCTGCTTTGTAGACATGAATTCTCTAAAATCTGGGATTCAGAAAAAAAAAATTACAATTTTCTTAAAGAATCAGGTATTTAGAGATGTTTTACTTGTCCATGCTTTTATCTCCTACTGAGCTCCCCTCTGTACGATATGCTGAAAGCTTTTTCTTGACCTGTCCCCATGTCCCTGCTTTCCCCTTCCACTTCTCTGTCTCTCCTCTCACTCAGCCCTGCCACTCTCTCTGTACCGAGCTCAACATACGCCCAGCCCCTTCCTGCTCCCTCTGAAAACCCATCTGTGCTGTGAAACTCCCCACCTACAACGACCCCATATTGCTGTCTGGATCCCACTCTCTACTTGTTTTCTCAGTTTAAATCTGTTGACTTCAGAGGTGTTGCTTCTCCCCTTGCAGCTTTCAGCAAGAGTCAGAATCATTGCATCTGCCCAGGCTGTTCAAGGATAAAGTCTTCCTGGGGAACAAGAGGCTCCTGCTGTTTGCTCAGCAAAACAAATTGCACAATTGCACTCTCTGCAATTACAGCTGGTATTAACAACATTTCCGGGTTGAACTGGAGCTTCTTCCCAGGAAAAAGAGCATCCTTGTAACTGTCCTGCTCTCAGATCTTCTGATTTTGTAAGGCAGGGAACAGGCATTTGGCAAAACCCTTTCCCAACAATGCTGGGAATCGTTAGTGAGGCTTAGGGAAGGCTTCTGCTAGAGGTTGCTTCTGCACTTTGCTAAATCTTCAGCCCCTACCTAGGGAAGCTTATACCATCCATACTGCCCAGCATATCGTCAAGAGGTTTTCCCTTTTGCCTAGCAATTTTCAAGAGCGTGCCAGAGATGGTTTTCATGTGCATAAATCCTGAAGAATGTGTATCTAGCAACTTTGTATTTATAGACATGTTATAGACTAATTATGGGTTTGGTGCAGTTCATGAGCACCAAAACCACTTTGTGACAAGCGTCAATCTCTGTTACTGACTCAAATACTGGGATATGTCTGTAGAAGAGTGCAGATCTTTTGCTGTTATTCACATAACTTCTCAAAGTGTCCTTCCCTCCCAGTGAAACCACCTCACCAGATGGACAGGCACTTCAGAGAAAGAAATACCTTCTGGAGGGCTACAGACCCTCAGCACAGCTGAGCTCAGCACAGCTGTTGCCCTGGGCTTGGTGGATACTTATAAGAATTGCATGAAATTGTCTATTTAGAGTATTGATGATGACTATTCAAACCCACAGCATCTAAAAACAAGTATAGCTTATCCCAGAGACACCTGCCTGATGATTTCTGTGTGGGAAGAAACAGACACAGTGAAAGGGAAGTGAAACATTTTGCCCAAAATGGCATCTCACAGAATCAGATCTTTGCAGTGACAAATGTGCACTGAACTGAGCCAGATTTCACATTTTCTAAATGTGTTCTCAGGCATCTCTGTCATGATTGGAAACACCACAGCTGAAGCTGTCCATCGATTCTGCAGGTTTGTTAACTCTAAGTGTTTTTGATAGCTGAGCACTGAGGTCTCTGTTTACCCTGATCTCTCTATTAGCTGCTTACCTGGGCAGATTTCTGTGCCTCCATGAAGCCTCATTGATTTTCCAGGGAGTGAAATGTCATTGCTGCAGCAGGCTGTGTACATCAGGTATATTGGAGACGGGATCGTTAGGGTTCTGTGTAATTAGCAGTGCTACAAATGTACTCTGTAATGCTTTCTTTGTCCGAGATTGGCCCTGATTATCTCGGTTAGTGACTTCATCAGCTCCTAGCTCTACACTGGGGTCTCACACAACCTCCAGTGTGTTTATCCTCACACAGCTGAGGGGTAGCTGAGGGGTACGAGCTGTTCCTAGGTCAGATGTTGGAGGAGACTGCACAAAGTCAGGATGAACAAGGAATTGAGCCCAGGTGCCTATGGCTGAAATGGATTGCTAGACAGGACCACCTCACAGGTGAAGACTAACAGGATACAGTTTGATGGAGTATGAGATTTTTGTAAGATGAACAGAAAGTTTGCACCTGCGCAGATCTGATTTTCTTAGCCCTTACCTAAAATTGTCCTTAAAAAGACTAAGTCATTTTGGTGTCATGCAACTGTGTATTGTGATGGGGTTACTCTGTACTCACAAATTATGTGAATGTATGCCTGGAATATATGTATATTTTATTTCTAAATAACAATCACATTCTCATGAAGGAATTTATTGCTGAATTCCTTCTATTATCTGTATCTTTCTTTTCTCCCATGTTCAGTCAGGCCAATATTGCTTTAATCCTGCAACAATGGCACCTGATCATACACATCTGTTGATTTCTATGCAATAGTCTAATTACCTATAATTTTTTAAAAATCCACCCCAATTCACATACTTTGTAAAGCTTTCTCTTTTCGAAGTTTCCTGTTGAGATACTTTTGATTCAAATTTCATATGAAATTTCCATTTATAGTTAGCTTTCAAGGGCTAATAAATTCCAATAACAGTTAATTTCATTAATAGTTCTGTCACACAGCCATGATGAAGCACCCAAACTCAATGCTTATCAAGCTGTTCCAATTGGGACTTCCCATACTCTAGTTAGCACCTTACAGTACTGATCCTTACTTGACTTGAAGCTGTGAACCTGAATTGTGTGTCAGGCAGGGACCTGGGTACACATTAGCCTCTTCCAGGGCATATTTGGAAGGAAACCTGTGCAGGTGGGCAGGAAGGAAGCTGTGGTGTGCTCCTGTAGGTCTTGTCATCTGTGTTACTGAGGACCAGCACTCTGAAGGACACCATGAAGCCCAGCTGCCCTGCAGTTGAGGTTCAGCCATGGCACGCACACTCAAAGTGCTCTGCTCATAGAAATAGTCACTGTCTGGAGCTCTTCACTTCCTTGAGGTCTGTGTAGGTGCAGCTTTGCATCTTCCTTTGGGGTCTCTGGCACGGCGAGTCACCCACCTGTATTCCCCAGCCACAAGGACTGGTTTCCTATAGCTGCACCATTGCCTGGTGGCCTCTCAAGTGCAGAGTTCCCCATTTCCAGTTTCCAGTGAAACTGAAAGCAAACAAGTTGGATTCAAAACCAGTATCTCTTAGTTTTAGTAAGCACAAGATATTTGCATACTTGGTGGGATTTAAGATATCTGTCCTTCTGCCCTGCAGTGGCTTTGTCACCATCCCGCAGTGCTGTTTGAGCTCCGGCACCTGTAGGATTTGCAGTTCTGCAGAGCCCCATCTCAAAACAAGACGTCTCTTCTTTTCACAAAGGCAGCTTGCTGTTCCCTTGGTTGGCTCCATAGTGGAGCAGTAGCATGCTAGCACAAAGGCACAATCCTTTGCCTTTCTCTCCTGAGCAGGCTGCCAGCTCTGCAGTACATCCCCTAGCTCTCTCCAGGACATGTGGGGCTTTAAAGACACACCAAGAGCCTGTGCTTTTTCTCTTTTCTCCAGGAACCCAGCACTCTACAGACAGCTCTTTCCCACAGAGGAACTGGAGAAAAGTGATTGCCTTTATCAGATGGTCATCACACAGCCTCCAGTTTAGTGCTCCTCTGCAACTGGGATTTCACCAAATGCACATTAACCAATTACCCAAATCAGCACATTAATCAATTGTCATTAATTGATACAGGATCTAGCAAATGAATAAACTCCTTACTGGTCATCTTTAACCCTTTGTATTAGTGTGGTTGTAGCTATCTGTGACATGTACTAATGCAACATGCTTATGCTAACTTCTATTTTTTATAAGCTCTTTATAAGCCACTTATAAATAGAAGCTTAATATGAAGTGTGACAGATCTCTAATCTTTAGTCTCTCCTTAGCCCTCCAAGCACTTCCTTTCTGGAAATACAAAATATATCCAGTATGCCCTAGATATTCTCCACTCTTGCTGATGACTTTAGCTCTCAGCCATTGATTCTTTCCACTTCTTAATCAGTGTAAATAGATCAGGGCTGAAACAGCCTTTTTATTTAAAATTTTAAAAAGACAGATTACAGCAAAGGAACATTGAAAGGGTGATGATTTGAAAATATATTTTGTTGCTTATGTGATGCTGTGAGGCAGAGGGTCAATATAATGGAGACATAAAAAACCTGTATTCCTTCTCCATTGCAATAATGATGATTGGAGTGAATTATCTAATGGAAGGTCCAAATACTGAGAAAACACTGTGCAGCATTTATGAAGTGTCAGTACTTTGTGGCATTCTCTTTCACTAAAGGCCATGTGTGCAATGGTGTCCCTGTTACATCTGAGCAAACCCTATGGCACAAAATGCCTGGCTTAGGATTACATGGCAAATCAGCTCCAAAATAGGGGATGGACCCCTAATATCTTGGTACAAGGAAATTGTTATGAGTCTATACTGAGTTTGTTTGTTTACTTCTGTGGGGGAAAAGCCTGTTCTTCAGAGTCTCAGGTGATATAGAAAATTTAGAATTAATACCTCTTCATTTCAGCATGTCACTCAGATTTTATTGAGCCCAATCCCTCCAGCATCTAGTGTTTTTTACTTTGACTTTAAGAGAAGTAAAGCCCTGTAGTTACTTTTTACCCTGTCCCTACATTCAGCTATGATCACTATAATAATGTATGTTTCCAGGCAATTAATATATGGATATGCATTCACAGATATGCACATCTACTGTGTTTCTCACAAAAAGGAGAACACCTGATGTAGAGAACATCAGGTGCAGAACTTGCAGGATTTAAAACACAGCCAAAGCTAATGGCTCAAATTGTAGCCTAACCTAACACTTTCTCAGCCAGAGATTCCTCCCCCTTTTTTTTCTCCCTAAAACTTTTGCTGTTGCGTCACTGATAAATAACAGCCCTTTGCTCAGCAATAAATCCCTTTTGTATTTAAGGTTTTGCCTTCCTACCCATTAAACCTCTCCTCATCAGCAGTACTTTTACTTTTCAGAAACAAATATTCAGTATTATAGGCTAGGAGTTCTTTTGTTTTCCCCCCATAGATGTAAAACCCTGAGGGATTTACGTATCTACTTGATAGGCTCACACAATCTTAATCAGCCTATAATGGAGCTAATGGCTGTTTGTCATCCTTGGAGATATAAATTTCCTGGTGATGTCTACTGCAGTCAGTACATGAAGTATGCTCTGACTGCCAGCAAGGTCTAATAACCGGGAGAAGGGCAGCCAGCTTCATTAGCGAGCCTGAGACCGTGCCGGCTGCTTTTCTGGGGAACTGTGCTTTTTGAATACCGGGAGGGAATAATGGACAATACCGGTAAGTGAAATAAAACAGATCTTCATTCTTAGTGGAGCTACGGGGTTCGTTTGTATCCTCTCTTACTCGCTGCAGGAGATGTGTTTCTTTAGCCTCTGTGGCTTCTTCCTTTTAAATGTCCTTTATTAAAGCGAATTTTTATGTCTAAAATGTGACACACTTAAGTTGTTAACCCCTTAACGGTCTGCTCTGTTTCCTGGAAATGTGAACCTAAACTGTAATGTAGCATCTGCCTTTTTAAGGTATTCAGTGTTATTTTGGAAGCTATATGCAGGAAATGTGGCAGGAAGAGAAAATGCATGTACTTCAGAGAGAAATATCTCTCACAGTTTGAAATAGGTGTGGATAGGTAACTAATAAAGCTAACAAAAAGTAGATAATGTTTAGCTCCCATATATCTTATTTTAAGCTGGCTCTGTTTTCTCTGTATAATGCCTTACTCTTTCATATTTGGTACATAAAATACTGAATATATTTGCACTTTTAATTTTCTTTGATGTTCCAACTTTAGAGCATGCATTTTCATCTCAAATAATGCACTTCATGGTTTCTAAGGAGGTGCACACATCATTACATCGGTGATGAAATGCATTATTTGCATTCCCCTTTTGCATTACCTTGTATCACAAGGCAGAGAAAAAATAGAGGTTTTTGGGACAGGTATTTTGCATGCTGCTTTGACTGCTGTGAAACTTGAACATGTCGAGATATCACAGATTTATTGGTACTAGTGCAATACACATTAGGAGACACAATCTGCAGTCGTTTCAGTGCCCTTTGAAACCTGCTCAGATCATCAGATTTGTCTAATGTTGACCTTAAAAGTAGTAATCACCTCTACAGTGTGTGGCAAAGATTACAGTAGGTTTTGGTGATTTTCAGGAGGTTGTGGGTGTTTTGAATTGATTTTTTTTTTTTTTTAATAGTAGAAGCAAAACTCTTGCTTATGTCTGCTAAGCTGTCCAGGTCATTCTCATCTCACATGTATCATTATCAACTTCTGTGACAAACAGATGAAAGGGTGTTGCTGCCTTAATTTCTATAAAGTCCAGGACCAAAAAAAAAAAAAAAAAAAAAAAAATTTCTAGCATTTAAAATGTAACATCATGGAAAATTATATATTGCCAGCATCTAAAAAACCTGGCATGGTCCTAGTAAAATGTTCATTTTTGGAAATAAGATTAGTAATACTCTTTGCACTTGGTGCTTTGGCTAGCTTTTAAGAAGCCTTAACATAATAAATGATAATGACTTTTGTTTGATGCATACTTTTGCATGACGAGGCAGAATTTTCTGCTGGAGGAGAAGGATTCCTGCTCTCTGACACAGAATGTCTGTGGGCAAGAGATACTTTGGCAGGCAGAGCTGCTAATTCCTCCAGTTTTTACACTCTTCAGCATCAACAACTGACAGTATTGAAGTCTTGATGGAGATACCACTTTAATCCAGCTATAAGAATCTGATCTGGAATGAGTCACATTTATTTTAAAGGCCAGTTTTGGGGGGATGAAGAGGGAAGCTAGTGTCTGAAAACTGTTGAAGCAGATTTTCCTTTCTGTGGGTTTTTTTTTCTTTGGGATTTTTCGGGGTTTTTTTTGGTTTTGTTTTATTTGCTTGTTTGTTTTTTTGTCCTAAGAAGAATCCAGCTTGGTTACTATCTGAAAAAAGTTAAAATTACTAGGGATTGATATCTGCACAACTTACCAGCTATTTTCAAAGCTTCTTATAATATTAGTTTGCTGAATAACTCCAGATATTTTTTTTGTCCTGCAGAAACGGCGACTGATGCTTTCCATTTTTAGAAAACAACCTATACACCATTGAAATTTCTTAAAATAATCCTTTCAGACAATAACTAAAAATCTAGTTGTTAAAAAAAAAAGCCCCAAACCAACCCAACAACAGATGAAATTAAGCCATATTGAGGACATCATGGCAGAGGGTAAGGTTGTGATCAAGTTTCTTCTTCCATGGTTACCAGTGATCTTCCTACTGCCTGTGGTCAGCTTGCTCCAAACTTGCAGAGGGCTTCAGCCCCACGTGGGTTATAGGCACGCTCCCTTCTCCAGGCAGCTCTTCCAAGAGTCCTGCCACTTCCATACTTTGAGTATAGGGAATACATCAATTTCCAAAGAGCCTACAGGGTGCTGGGTAAACAGCATTCCTCTGTAGAGGAATGTTTAGGGCTCATGACCCCTAATTGGGATGCCAGTGTGGGGACTGTGCAGCTGAATACCTCTGTATATCTGGCCTGTCCCTTTGACATTTACAGGGATGGGAGAGCACCTTTGAAAACCCTTGTGGTGTCATCTGGGCACTTATGAGATCAGAGAGCAGCAGGATTATTTGCATCCCCTAAGCCAAACTGCCTGATTAATTTGTTCTTCAGCAGTGTGCCAACTAAAATGTAAACACACTGATGTATATAAACTGGATACCTGCCCAAATTCATCCTGGAGAGATGCTATTTCTGGCAACACAGAACTGCAGAATATTAGCAAACCTGTGTGTTTTACCTACTGAATGTTAGATGTAACAATTTAGTATCACTGTCAGTGAATCAGGCCTCTGTTATTAAACTCATCATGCTGCTGAAGAGACTTTCAAAGTCAGACCATGGATAATTGTTGGGCAAAACTCCATCTTCTGCTCTGCATAACAGAAATATCTCTGTAATTCATTACTCTTCTCCTTTGCCATCAGTTAAATTATTTTCTGGCCAAAACTGTCATTTAAAAAGATCAGTGTTGCTAATAGGTCACCTGCATACACTTTGAGTTGCTATGCTTGATGGCATTTTGTGGGGTTTAGAAACAATGTTTTCATTTTAAAAGTCCTTTCCTTTAAGTGTTAGATTGCTCTTATTTTTATTCTGTGTACCGAGACAACTCCACATAATTGTTGTCTCGTGTGTTCTTTTAAAAGCCTTTCCTGGAATAACAATAAAATATTTATCCGTCTGTGTAGAGCACAACAGGACAGTTCTAGTTGTATTTTTTGCCTATTTTGGCATCAGCTGTTTGTGACAGGCTGTCTGCAGGTATTCAGCTGCAAGGCTGCCTGCTGCTTTGGGCAGCCAGCAGCTCCCACTGGCAGGTCCTGGGCTCCGGCTTTGCTGCACACATCTACTTTGGGCCAAACACATCAAGCCTGGAGACAGCAGTGATGTAACAAAACTCATTTTTAAAAAATGGGAAGGTTTTGAAATAACTTGTGGGGCGGGGGAAGCAAATATAAAAGCAGCAAGAAACTTGGAGTAGCAGGACGAGAGAAGCTGTGGAAACAGAAGTGCTTCCAAGTGGTGCATTTTGGGGGGGATTTTCTTTAAGGAGTGAGACCAGCAACATCCCTTTCCCCTGGAGCTCCTAGTCAGCGGTGTCCTGCTTGGACAGGCACCTCACCTTAAAACAGTCAAGTCTTGTACACTCATTCTTACCAAGAAGAATGCCAATGTGATGTGCCAAACACCCAGAGGAAGAATCTCATGGGAGTGAATAGCACCATAGTGAGGTCCTGTGTCATGCATATCATACCAGTAGTGAACAAAACCAGGAGGCCTTGTTTCATGTTTCTTGGGGATTTATATGACTTCTTTGCACTTGAAATATTATTTTAGCAGTAATGAGCTAGCTGTGGTTAATTGTTACCCTGAATTATGTAGGTTCTGCAGCTGTGGCTGCAGGCTATGCCTTCAAGTAAAAAATGTGTTTTAAAGGGACTGGAGGTCTTGTCTGTTGTATACCCTATCTCTGAGGAATATCCCGTAGGAACAACAAATTTTACATATGACCTATAGTAAAACTTCGAGCTTTCCACTGAGGTGAGACTTTAACTTGAAGCCTGAAATGCGATGAGATGGTGGTGATAGCAAGTGGTCAGTTTAGTGTTCTGCATGACATCATGTGTTCACAGGAAGGGTAAGAGACACGGGAAACCATTTGTGGATGGAAATTCCCTTGCTTTTGAAGTAACTGGTCATTTTTGTCTTTCTGTAAGTCAATAGGACTTATTTAGCATTCCTTAAATATAAGACTGCTGGGATTGAATGCTGGCTGAGGATTTGACTTTACAAATACTTTATGTCTTACCCTCTTATTTCGAGGCAAACAGGGTACATATTTCTAAAACACAAAGGAGAAGAGAAAACCAGGCAGAAGAACAAAACTGGGAGGAGGATTTCAGATTATGATCCTGATTTCTTATCAATTCATAGTGTTCAAAAACCTCTGATGTAGCTGAGCTGATCTGTGTACAGAACTAGGCTAGATAACAATCTCAGTGAGTTGTAAGGTTCATTTGTTGCCCATAAAGGGTTCTGAAATCTTTTGGCCATTTAAGGCTTAAGCTGTCTGAATTGTCCCTATGAATTTGGAAACCCATTAACACAAAACCATTTGCAATGGAGACAGCAGCAGTGTTACCACAAGTTTGTGAGCCCTTGAGACAATTCCCAACTCCAGCAGCAAAATCAGTCACATCCTTCGGCAGCTTCTGTTTTGATATTTGAGAACTTTGTCCATGTTCTCCCCAAGAGTGAAGATGTTTTTAGAGGGGACAACAGCACCTCCTTTCTCTGTCCCACTCTTATGTAAATGGGGCTATCCATACCATGTTTCTTTTATTGGGTACATTTGCCATGTAAATGGTTTATTCATGAATAAAAAGCAATAGCAACTCCTTTATACTACATTGTGTATTCTAATTTGCCTCCTGTTTTTACCCATGCCCCCGACTGAAGTGAACACTCTAGTGTATCACAGGTCACTGTCTGCTAGAAAGTTAAATTTCTTCTTGTTGTAATTTTAGAATAATATTCATGGCTTATACCCCTTTACCCAGAAGTTGGCACAGCATGCTTATAAATCCATGACCTTGAAAGCATTTCTGTGAGGATTAAACTTCCTTGTGATGCTGCTGCTCCCTGTGTTATTTTCAAGTCTCTCCACACATAGCGCATAGAATGACTACGTAGGAACTTGCACTAGAGGTAGCCAAACACT